GCAGCTAGCATGCGCTCACACAAACACACACACACACACACACACACACACACACGGATCAAAATGATTTTTTGTTGGCAGCTCTAGTCTGGAGCTTTCGTAGTATAGAATTAATTATAGTGGGTTGTTTTGCAGTAGGATAAATGCTTCATTTCTACATTTTAACTGCAGAAATACATCAAAAATTCAAGAAATATTAACTTGCATGTTCATTATTTCTTTAACTGTGTGTCAGGCTCTTTCTTCTTCGAGCCCCTTGAGGTCAAGCTCTGTAAAGCCTATTTGGCAATCAAACACTGTCCCTCCCTAACCCTCTTTTTCCTCCTTTCTCCGCACACACCTCTCTTGCCCTCTTTCTCTTGCCTCGGCCCTTTCTCTGCCTCATCGCCCTCCCTTGTCTCTTTCTGTCCGGCTGGCCCTCTCAGCGGGGACTATACAGCCCTAACTTGTCTACACTTACCCCCTGTGTTGACTGACCAATGGGGCCGTCGCACAGAGAGTCCCTCCTTTAGCGCTCCGCCATTCTCCCCGAGTCAGCTCATGCGCTCTGTTTTCACGACCTCTGAGGGCCCCAGGCCATGGCAACAGTGGCAGGAATGTCAGGAGTGATTGGCAGGATAAAGAGCGCAGCGCCTCTCTCCTGCACAAGCGGATTTGAGACACTTTGAGGGGCGAACAATGGCGGATTTGGGCTTGATTGGATCACTGATGAGCTGATGACTGTCAAAAGAGCACGTCGTCTTTACATAAGCCTGATTATCTCTGCGTGGCGGAGGAGCGGAGAAGAGTAGGAGGGGTAACCGCTGTAGGAGGGAGGGAGGGGGCTGACTGGCAGGGAGTTCACCCCCATGCAGAGTCCCGATGCGCACACGAGGGCCAGGCTACAAGGCCCGGACGGCTCTCATCCACTGGGGGCCTTTAACAAATCTATTCAGGCAACCAGGGGCCCTCATACATGTGGCCATAATCACAGGAGGATGGCTAAAGGGTGGGAGTGTGAGGGGGATGACACATGGAGGTAATCATTGTTCAACCCCGGACCATCCCATCAAGACGACAGAGGAGCAGAGAGAGAAAGAACGAGGGAAGGATATATATAGAGAGCGAGATGGTGACAGAAAGGAGCAGTGGGACAGGCAAATCAAAGACAAATCCCCTCCATAATCTGCCTCTTTAATAGGGATTAGACCTCACCAAAGAGTCTATATCAGAATACCAAAGCTCCAATGAAGACTCTGTTCACACTGAGAGTTTGAGGGGCTGATACGACTCTAAAAACTCCACAGAGAGAGTTTTATTCAGGAGTATTAGCACTGGTTGTTTTCCTCACTTGCGGCTTTTTTTACAGTGTGTACCAGCTCTATTTTTTGAAAAGTTTCGGGGCAGGTTGGGTGACAAACTACCAACATGAAGCCTAAACTTGAAACTCTGAAGAAGTTCTAGCTGCACCCGCCAGAAAACACTAATCATATTTTGGATCTGCTCACTTTTTCCACTCCTTTCATAACAAAGCATGTTTTGGGCACGCTGTGTAGCTGATTAAACGGCTATTTGATGTCATTTTCAGCCCCATCATGCTAAGCTCACTGATTTCCAACTTTGAAAGAATAACATATTGTTTGGGTACTTGGAAGAACAGTAGCGCGGTCTGGCTGGGATGAAGTGTAGAAAAAGTGAAGAGCGTATAAGAGAGAGAGAGAGCGGCTGATATTCTCCTCCGCCGTGCTGATGGCAGTCTGTCAGAGTTGGCAGAGGAAGTGAAAATGGCCTCAAGTGTCTGGCTTCCTTCCATGCTGTTCTCACATCAATGACAGCTCTCACTGCATCATCTCTCTCTCTCTCTCTCTCTCTCTCTCTCTCTCTCTCTCTCTCTCTCATTTGCTCTCTTTAGACGCAAGTTTGCTTTCTCTATCTCTTGTTTTCCGACTCTTTCTCTCTGTGAAAGGATGTGTGGGCGGGTGAACGGAGGGATGGATGGATGAATTAAGATCCACAGACTTTTGAGTGAGGAGAAAAATCTGCAGCACCTGAAAACAAAGTCCCGACTTATCCCCCCCCCACACACACACACACACACACACACCTCATACACACGTGTGTCAGGTTTAAAGTCGTAATTCTGCATTTTAGGAAACTCTGAAAGTTAGTTGAGAAGACCGATACCACTCCCATAGCTAACACCAGCAGCTGGTTGGCTTAGCTTATCACAGAGCCAACAGGAGGGAACAGCTGACCTGGCCCTGTGCATAGGTAACAAATCACCTACCAGCAGCTCTAAAGCTCACTCATCAACACATTATATTTTGTATGTTTAACCCACAGATAAACTGACATGTGAAATTTCGTTTTTCTGGGGTTTGTGTGTCGTCTAATTCCCAGAAAGAAACCGAATCTCCAAAAATGGAAGAATTCAGCGCACGTCCGTGATGAAAGGCGACTCATGAATTAATGTAATGATAAATAAAAACAATGCAATGGACTTCCATTTAAATAACTGATTACACTTTGAGAAGTGAGCACCAAACTTTGCATTAGTTTGACACTGCACATTGGGATGTTCACACTGAATCACTTACAGACAGCAGAGTGTACTAGAGCCGAGGTAATGGTTGTATAAGTTAATGTAAATTTTGATAATGGTCAAATCTTGATCCTATCTGTAGTGATTTCGGTACGAGGTTAGAAGAGGAGCACGTACATTTTCCTCACATGCACCGTCATGATTTGAGGCCTTTGTGATAGTGACTGTGCGTCTTTTCAGTCCGACATCAAGATACAAATTTGTTTCCTGCATGAAAAGTTTAAATTTGGTCTCACTGAGATTGAACTGGATGTGCAGCTGCTAAAGCCAATATATGAAATCTGACTTGGTACGGATAGAGTGAATATGTTATAATGTCTAACTGTGAAAACCACACATCTCCAAATCACCACTGTGCATCGTGTTTTCATCTTAGTGATGATGTATTCATCAGATCAGTAAACGGTTTACTTACTGTATCTAAAGAAGTAGGATCATTCTCTCCACCCTGAAAGCAAGACTTGCAGTTTATCCAAACAAAAAAAATAAAAAATCACTAAATTTGGAGATACACGCTTCTCAGCAACAGTATGCAAAGTGAGCGTGCTGGATAATGTTTTTGGGTTGATGCTGGTGTGTTTGTTTGCATTAACAATTGGTGGGAATATAGAAGTGACTTTGCAGAAAGGTTTAGTGTGAGTGACAGTCGTACTCCTCATACTGCTCTTCTTTCTCTGAGAGTGAGGTGGCAGCATTGAGTCACATCTCCAGTGTGAATCCGTCAGTGGCCGTCTGACGCCTGCTCAAATCACCAGTCCACTGTGTACTTTACATGACATGTATACATCGACCACAGCGCTTAGCAAACGGTATCAGAGTAAATACACAAGCAACACTTCAGTTCAGTTAACTGTTGATATTCAGCTGTTAAACTAGACAAGATCTTCAAGCACAACGCCACAGTTTTAACCTAACTCCAACCATCTCAGTAATCTAATCCAAACACTGAACATCCGTAGACTTCATCAGTATTTAAACACCTCAACAAGCATTTTACTGAAAGGCCATCGCCACCTGACAGAAAGCTGACTACCAACACCGGACTGTCAAAATAAAACGTGACCAAATATAAAACTTTAAATTATTTGCAGAAGACTAACTTTAAGTCTAAGTTTTGTCAGTACATGAACCTGAGGCTGCATGGGCCCCTCGAGAGGCCAGAGGACCCCAAAGTCTGCGCCATGCATGATCTGCTGCTAAACCAAGCACAAGACCACCGCTTTGAGAAATACTCTCTATTAGCAGCACTAAGACCCCCCATCACCCTCTCTCTCTCTCTCGCTCTTTCTCCTCTTTAAATTACCCCCTGTCTTTGGGCCTGTGAACGTCAAGGATGGCTCAGAATGACACCCCCCACCCCCACCTCCCATCCACCTCCCCCTGAGCTGCCGCCCCCATACTGGCTGCTGGCCTTTCCTGCCGTCTGATCCATATTTCAGAGGCGGCAGTGGTGGCACTGAGGGGGTATAATCCAACATTAAAGCAAGGAGGCCTGGGCTGAAAGCACAGGCGCAGGTTCATAAGGTCCTGGAAATCTTCAATTTCAATTTCCGCAGCGTTTGCAGTGGCTTCCAAGGCGCTGGCGTAAGTCTCAGAGTTTTGGCGAGAGTGCAGGTTTCAATGAGGGCGAGACTTTTTCTTACAAAAAAAAAAAAAGGGCTGACACTGCACGGTTAGGTTGGCAAGAAGAGAGTGAAACTAACTAGACACAGGGACCAAAGGGTCAATTAAAAGGTGGGTACACTGTGATCGCCATTAATCAAGTGGGAATCAATAGTATTTTGTGTCTGTATTATATTATATTTTCATATAGATCCTTAAAATACCCAATTTGCTGCGACTTCACACATTTTTAGAGGGAGAGAAAAAAAATTGTTAGAATAATTATAATCACATTAAAACTGATCTGATATCTATCTGATATATGATATAGCCGACTGTGAAATGACATCATAAAAATCTTGATCAACCTTAAAAAAAAGGAGATTAAAACTCTGTGACAATAAAAATCAAGAAGTTGAAGTCACCTTTACGTCCCCACTCCATCACTTTTTCTCCTGATTTTTGACTCGACCATGAACAATTTCTATTTAGTTACAATGAAAAAAGTCTCAAATAATAAATGACTATAATGACATTTATTTAGTTCCCAAAAAATATATTCTTTAAAGACAAATTCATATCCTGTATTTACAATTTTCAAGGTTTCCATTCACAACAGAGGAGGCGAAGAAAAAAAAACATAGGACATAAAAAGAGAGATACAAGCAAATCTGTGACAAAAACAACCATCTCTTTTGCATGTAGAAGCTAAACAGTAATACTATGACAGGTGGCCCTGCCGGAAAAACCAAAAAAATAGCCTTCGTTAAAGAGTTCTCCGTTAAATAAAATTACTCCTGTCTTCTTCTTTTTTTTCTTTCTTGGTCTTCTCATAATGTTGTTGTCAGAACTCGCTGTGATGTTGTCCCATGGTGAGGTCTGAGGACAGAGGACAAAAAGAAAAGAGGTGAAATAAGTGAAAATGAGTCTAGGAAAACAGTCAGAAAGGTGTTGATGTTTTCTTCCTTTATATAAAAAAAAGCACATTTCCATTTATAGACATTTCAAAATAATTAGCCGGTTTTAACACTGTGATTTTAGTTTTTCAAGATCCTCTGAAACCATGTTAATCTGGATTTATGCAGATTAAAAAACACCATGGTTAAATTGTTTTATGTCTTTTCACCCTCCACTTCATTCATGATGTTGCTATCAGCGTTTTCTTTGACATACATTAGCTGCATTCACTGAGGGGGCGTGAATAAATGGCGGCAGATTATTTAAATGACATAGGTGGCGATAACTCAGTTGTTGGGGTGGGGGGGGGGGTAGATGGAGTGGGGGGTGTACGGGAGTGTGAAGGGGGGGGGGGGCGCAGGATATATTAGACTGCTGCCTGACGAGGCGTTAAAGTGGGGGACTCAATCACATGATTTATGTGCTGAGGTCTGCCTCTCCCGCCCAGTCAGGTGTAGCAGTGTTTACCTCCCCTTTAAGGTTCATTTAGCAGAAGACATGTGGAAAGAAATTGAGGTTGATAATGTCGTGATGCCAAATTGATTTCAAATGCATGAGGTTACCTGTCAGTGATCAGCTGGAACGGGGACTTCAGGGAGTCAGGCCTGTGGTCGCTCTCTTCGTCTGCAAAAAGAAGAAAAGCAATGTGTTTATTTAGCAATTCATTGGTTAGAATTATTTTTTAAATTTAATTTGCAAATTATTATTTTTGTCCTGTAGATAATTGCTTTTTTGGATCCGTTCTTGTTGCCATTTACGCATTAAAGTAACTGCTGAGGCCTGTTCAGTAAACACATGAATTGCAGAGGGTCGTACAGTTAAATGAAGTCCATACCATCTCTTTTTGGACTGAAGCTTCCTGACGACTCTACATCACTGTCATCCTCCGTCCCCGAAGTTCCAGGGCCCGCCGCAGCCGCCGATCGTGCGTCGTGACGCGCAGCCGGCACCGCACCGTGGAGAGGCAGGTGTCCGGCCGGTGCCCCGCCGAGGAGCGATCTCATGTTCAAAAGAGAGTTGGCGTTCAGAAAAGCCGCGTTGGCCCAGTTGTGCAGCTTGCCAATCTGGCATGTATATATCCCATGACCCGGGAGCAATGCCGGGTGGCCGGCGGAGGCCAAAGCCGGGTGATGCGCATGGGCCGCCGGAGAAGGTTTGTGAGAGCTGTCGGGGGCCGTGGCGGTCTCAGCCAAGGACCAGATTTTGGGTTTGCTCTGTGGTGGTCTCTGGCACTCCTGTCTGCTGGGAGAATGATCCACTGCGAGTTTGACAACAGGCGGTTTATTGAGAGAAATAGCAGCCTCCACCCCTCTCAGGCCCTCCACTGAAAGCGTCCTGCTGCTCTCCGAGCTCTTCGGCTCCGAGGCCTGCTCTCTGGCGGGCAGGCCCGCCTCGCCCTCTACTTTCCCGGAGCTCTGCTCCTCTGCTCGCTCCTCCTCGGGTCTCTCGATATCCACAGTTTCCAAATCGATTTCCTCTTCTTCGTCTTCGTCGTCGCTGCCGTTCTTGCCGTGCTCGTCCTCGTTGTCGCTGCTGAAGATGCGGCCGTCACGGTCCTCGGCGCTGCGGCCCCAGGTTACCTTGTTCTCCTTCTTCAGGCGTCTGCGGGCGTTGGCGAACCACGTCGACACCTGGAAAATGAAAACAAATTTTTCCACACATTATAAATCAAATACACTTGTTTGATGATGCGTGGCGGGAAACTGTGAAATGATTAAATATGCAAAACGCTGATTCTTCTTCGCCCGTTTCACTAATTCGTTATAATTACTGAAAGAGCTGTGAGACAATAACTGCCTGGAGACTTTTCATCGTCAGGGTGGAAGTGTAACTTTAAAGTGTCAATCACAGCTGGTGACTGTGTTGTCATAACAAGTAACGTCACAAGTAGGTTAATGAAGTATTGTTCTTGTAGATAAGAAGACATGACCTTTAAAAACAAGCAAACAGTCGTTTATTATCCTCATGTGTGGAGACTGGAGCTGTTGTTATGGGCTCATTTTTTGAAACCTTTAATGCCAAGTCACATCTGACACATGAACACACTTCCCACCTGTGTGAGTGTCATCCGGGTGATGATAGCCAGCATGATCTTCTCTCCTTTGGTCGGGTAGGGGTTCTTCTGGTGCTCCTGCAGCCAGGCCTTAAGGGTGCTCGTGGTCTCCCGCGTGGCCGTCTTGGCCCTGGACGGATCCCCATATGGATACTGGCCGTACGGGTAGAAGCCCTGAGCGGCGTGGACAGGCAGGGAGGCTGGGTGGGAGCCCGGGCTCTCCTTCAACTCATACTGGGAGCCCTGAAATGTTCATGGAGAGAGAGAGGTGGCAACTTGTTGAGCGACTCGTCTTGAACTCATTTCCTCTTAAAGTTCAAGGAATACGTTAAAAAAAAAAAGAAAAAGACGTTTGATTTCTTATTTGTGCAGCTAAAAAGTTTTTTAAAGTTTCAATGTCTCTTAAATTTGACACCAAATATTATCATGCAACAAAGAGTTAGACATGAATTAATAAAACCGATTAAAATATTTTTATTTACTAAAGTTGCAGCATTTTTAAATTATATTTAAATATTGCTATTTTTGTTTAGAACAAATAAAGAATACAATTAATTTCTAATCAGTAGGTTATTAATTAATAATGGTGTTTTTCTCATTAATACATGCATTTTTTTCCTAAAACATAATTAAGCTCAAATTATCAGTGATTGTTGTGGTGTTTTTCCCACATGATTTACATAATTTACAGAAAAGAAAAGAAAAAGTCTGAACCTAAAATTTTGAAGTTTAGTCTTGTGCTTCCAAAGATGGAGGATTTCTCTGTGTAACCCTTCAGTATTTTTGCCATACACACCTACACACACTGAGTGAATTGTTAAACAGACAATTGGCGGATCGGATTTAATAAAAATTATTAGGCTGTTTATTAACGATTCTGCAGAAAAGGAACGAGCTGATATGTCAGTCACTTTGAGCCACTGGTTAATTGCGTATTATTTAACGATAGATGAAAGATGAGCCTGTGAGGACTCTGTCATTAACAGCTGAGCTGCTTCAGTCTTCAGTCAAACAAGTATCAACTCTCACCATCTGGGATATGAGGGCGAGGTCTGTGGCTCCGCTGTACGGCAGAAAGGCACTGTAGTTGTGAGCCGCCCATGGGCTCCCGTACATCCCCAGCATAGAGCCGACAGCTGCGGCGGTAGCGGACGAGCTCACGCCGCCCTCGGTGCCTCCTTCCCGGGCAGAGGCCGGCCGCTCGCCGCCGTACACCTCATGGGAGGCACTGAGGAACTGGGGGTACCCCAGCTGAGGGAAAGACATGTCCGGAGAACGCGTACAGTAAAATCTCCCCCAAAGTGAAAGTCACACAACAGCAAGAGGAGGCAGGTAAAACAAAAAGAGAAAGTAGGAATCCCCAGAAAAAAAAGAAGAAGAGGAGGATGAAGGGGGTGTCTAAATCACCAGAGTCCCCCTTTTTTCTGAAACTGTCAAGCTTCTCTCCGCTGACCCGGAGTTGTGTCAGAGCCGCAGTTTGGCACCTCGAGTGCGGAGTGATGCGTGTGTCTGGCCGCAGGAGCTTCTGGATGTGGAGCTGACTGACTGATTGGCAGCCTACTTAAGCACCAAGCTCCTCCTATGCCCGGGGCAGGCGATTAGTGCATTGGTTAGCCTAGGTCGTGTGTGTGTGTGTGTGTGTGTGTGTGTGGTGTGTGTGTGTGTGTGTGTGTGTGTGTGTGTGTGTGTGTGTGTGTGTGTGTGTGTGTGTGTGTGTGTGTGTGATCTAATTTCTGCAGTCTTCACTACAGAAATGGAAGCGTGTGAAGTGTGTGCATGTGTGTATTTGCCTTTTTAGTGGTCACTATGGTTTTATTTCACAAATGCACCAAAAGAGTCCCAGTGTTGAGCTCATATTGTTATTGATAAAAGCCTGAGTTACTAGAATTTAGAAGAAATGCACAAATACCCACAATGATGATAATAATAAGATAAAGTAGCATAAAAATATGAACAACTGTTGCACTCTCAAGCATATTTTAGGCGTCATTTTTTTCCCTCTATGCTCTGACAGCTGATCCGCAGGGTATGCCGGGACATCCTGGCCAGCAGATGGGCCGGGAGGCATCGATATGGTCGGCCAGATCTTGCGAGGAATGTCCGCGATAATCGACGGAAGTCAGTGGAGCATATTTTTCAGAGCTCAAAGATAAAAAAAAAAAAAAGAAAAGAAAAAGGAGACTGAAGGTAATGACAGAGATCGACGAGGATAAGAGATAAGCAGAGATGAGCAGCACACAGGAGCTGTGGAGTGGAAAATGACAGATGTTTGCTGAGAAGAATGGACCACTGTACTCTGTCAGGCCCAGGTAGAAAGTCACTGATGTTGTAGGGCAGGTTTGGTGTTAGAAAATAAAAGGGTAAAAGTGTAAAGTGGAGATACGAGATGCAAGAAAATCTATTATTTTTATTCTTATGTGGGAAACTGAGACAAAAAAGACCCTGATATATGGAAGGATGAAGACTGACAGTTCCTCATTGACAGGCTTAACTATCAAAACAGCAGCTCTGCTTCAATCTGTTCCTTTGAACACACACGCACACACACACCCTCTCACACACTCTGTCACACACACATGCACGCACTCGGGCAGTGCTAATGAGGTTGAGCACCCTGCGCCCTGCTCAGTGGCCCTGTGGCCCTCCTGGGTTCCCTCAGAGGTTAGCTGTGTAATTACTCCATCCCCATAAATACAGATTCATCATTTCACACTGGAGCCCCTGATGAGCTTGGCTGAGCGGAGAGAGAGAGAGAGAGAGAGAGAGAGAGAGAGAGAGACAGAGAGAGAGAGAGAGAGAGGAAGGGGTGGTGGTGGGAGAGGGAGGAAGGGAGGGAGGGAGGGGGGGATCTAATGATTTAATTACAGTGCTTAAAGCCCACTCTGGCTAAGTGATGGTCCTCTCTGTCTCTTTCTCCCTCCTCTTCCCTCCTCAGCGCTGGCACCTAGAGGGCTTTACTCATGAATCTCAAAGCTGTTTTCCTAAACACATATTATGACGAGCGCACCGCCACAACCGCTGCTGCTGCTGCTGCTGCTGTGTGTGTGTGTGTGTGTGTGTGTGTGTATGTACGAGTGTGTGTGAGAAACAGAGAGAGAGAGATAGAGAGAGGATGCTTAATCTCCATGGCATTTTAAATGGCCTTCATGGAGAGCGGCTCTATCCTCATTGCCAAGGTAAATGGAGCCAGGGGACTCTCCATTTCAGCTCGATAAAAGAGCAATGTTAAAGACCCTCACCATTTCCCTCTCTCTCTCTCTCTCTCTCTCTCACTCTCTCCATCCCTCTCTCTCTCCCTCCCTCCCTCTGTCTCGTTTCTCACTTAAAATTAATGTTTTTCTCATGACAGGGGAGGGAAACGAGACATATCCACCATCTAATAGGATAATATAGCCCCATTCACCACCACCACCACCTCCCCTCCCTCCTCTCTCCCTCTCCCTCTCTCTCTGCCTCTCTCTCTGCCTTTGTAGCTGCCTGATTTCCATAGTGTCTCTGTGGAGAGGCAGTTAATGAATTCCTCTGAGCTGGAGAAAGGGGGAGAATGGTTTGGCGGTTTAGAGAGAGAAAGAGGCAGGGATAGGGGGAGGAAGGCTTTGAGCTATGCCATTCAACTTCACAGCCTCGGCCTGCTTGTGCATTCACCGCATGTGTGTGTGTGTGCTGTGCGTGCATGTGTGTGTCTTTTAACATGAACCTGCTAAGACTACCAAATATTTAGACTGGCCTCAGACCTCTTTTTATGGCGACGGTGGATTGAGGGATCTCAGGAGGCAGCTTGACTCTATTTGAATCCCATTCGCTGCTATTAGCTTGGCCCAGACAAAGGAATAACTTACCACAGGAAACATTCGAATAAAGTCCCACAATCCACTTGCAATGGCCATTTCCTCCTGGGTAATTTGCAGTGAGGTAAGACACCCAGACACATCATGAAGCAGATTTTTAGTTTTTGCTAACACTTCAACAAAGGAGGGATGATAGTGATTCATAATTGGCTTATCTAGGATTCATTGAGACTATTGGCAAGAACTCAGTTCCACTGTGCAAACAATATTGAATTCGCTACAGTGATTAAGGTAAATTAAATTCAAATAATCCTTAGAAACGTAGTACATGTAATATGATCACTTTTCTCAGCTACAATTAATGTGAAGAATTATATAATTTCAGAATCAGTAATTCCAGTAAGACTCATTTTTGGGGGTCAACTTGTTTACTCTCCGACCAGAAGTTCGACGTCTGTACGGTTTCTCTGCGTTGCGTGGACAGACTGCTGGAAAACACGTTAGCTTAACGCGGGGGCTGCAGGTGCGCGGCGGTGGTTAGCTTCAAGCACAAGTGATGACATGCAAACCGCTGCTAACTCAAAAGTTGTCTTTGCTAATGTTAGCCACAGGTTAGCCTTTCCGTCAGGACTCTTTCATGTGACAGCGTCGTCATGTGGACGGGCCTTCCTATTCTTTCTAGCTCATTTTTAACAGCAATCTCTCTCATTATGCCGGCTTTGCTCGTTTACACTGAACCAAACAAAGGCAGCTGTCATATGATTTTAGATAGCATGCCGGCGTCCTGAAAATCAGAGGATGTGTTGGATGCTCTCCCTTTTACACAAGCCCCTGTAATACAGCCTGTTCAAGGCTACAGACATCAATGCTACTCTGTGACTACCTCCGCTGCAGGTTTATTGCTGGAGCAACAATACTCCCTAAACAATGTTTGGACCTTTTATACAGAACAGCGAGGCGGAATAAAGGCACGACATTCCCGCCTTGAACAAGCTGGGTAAAAAGCGGCTCCTCTGTCCGCATGTATTTAATTTGTGTGGACGTGTGAGTGCGGACAATTTGATGTTGTTTAGAGTCAAGTTTGACCGAGCTGCTAACGTAACTTATTCCCAGCTGGCACCGGACGTCAATGTGTCGTCACAAAGATGCTGAAGTTTGACGACTCAGTTGCGGACAAACCTTAAATGTTGGTCAGAAATGAAGCAGACTTTGAAGTTTGCTGACAACTAAACTTTCGTCAGTATTCACTTGCACGTCAAATTGAAGTTGGCATCAGACGTTGTTCTGACATTTGATCACCCAACGTGACAGTCAACATTCATGCAACCGCACGTCTGCTGTGTTACTTCTGCTTTTCAGTCACTATAAAAGCATCATAATTACATTTTCAATGAGCATTATGTAAAAACAGATTATATTTTTCAATTAATGTACCTGACCCTTTAAGTTATCCTGTAAAATAAACATTTTCTTGAACTATATGATGAATTCCCATGATAAGATGAAATGATAATATTATTTCCTACTATTTCTAGTGCTTTCCTGATACAAATGTTAATTTCCTGAAAAACATAGCAAAGCAAGTCTGGCCACTCCACTGCTGTCAAGAAGATGACACTTGATAAGAGCTGATGAGAAGCAAAATTATGCCACTACACTGTCACATTTCTTCCCTCTGATTATTATTTTTGCTAAATCTATTGTCCTTCGCAGACTTTGTGATCAGTTTCCAGGATGTCAAGATTGTGGAGAGACCAGAGGGAGGGAAGGAAGAACAAGCAGCAGAGAGATAAAGAAAAAAAAAGAAAAAACCTGCCCTCACCTACTTGACAGCAAAGATAAGCAGTGATAGATTCAGCTCTGACCTGATGTTAAAACAGATGGATCACTCTGACGCATAACAGATAAGCCAGCCAGCCCGAGGTAATACATTCAGCTACCCAAAGTTTTACGATCCATCACACTGAGCTCGTACTTATTTTATCACTCTGTAACACTTTTTTAATCACCGTATTTGACATGCAGCACGGGAGATGTCGTTCATAGTCTTAATGGCTTATATCACCTATTATATCAGTGGAAGTGTGACCTGACAGCCACTCGCCTGGAGATGGATCCTGTTGCTTGAACATTTTGACCCAGAGGGGAAACACCAGACAAAGAGACTATCATTAGCAATTAACGGGCGTGCCAGCGTTTGTTTGTTAATAGCTCCTTTAGAAGTCCAATGGGACTCATTTACAGTGGATGGGGCTGATAACAAACCCTGACCTCCGGCGAGGGTCACTTTGAATCGCTCAAAATGGTGAAACTCAACTGTGTTGTCTTTTTTATTCGCTGACTGTGGCAGAGAGCTGCCGTTAAATACAGTTCCATCATTCCCCATAGAGAGAACGATGAAAACAAGCGATGTTCAACAAGATTGCTGACTGAAAAAAAAAAAGGTGAATTCCCACCTCCTCCTCTTTACAGAAAGCC